CCGTTGATTTCTTCCATCATATTATCCTAAACAAATGCATAGAGGGTATATAGCTCAGCAAATTCTTGCCTATCTCTTGCATGTATTTATGCATTTTCTGTCATTCCTTCCCAGAACAATGTCTTTTTTAAAAAAATTGACAGTAATAAGTAGTTTCTTATAACTCAAATAGGTGATCAATGAAAGATTACTTGTGCTTTTAAAAGACTTTGTGTCTTAAATAGAGCTTATAAAATGTATAGTGATGTTTAGTAAACAATCCATACATTAAAAAAAAGAAAAAGCAAAAAAAAAATTTAGTGATATTGATTGCATCTTATTTTTCATTTTTTAAAATCACTTTTAACAAAAAAATAACTGTACAACTTAAGCTTATTTGTTTTTTGTACTAGTAACGAGTTCTGAGTCTTTAGAAAATAAGTACTCAGTGTTTCTTGAATGTATGAGTGAATGGATTAGTGAAGGATGTGTATTAGAAGGAGTTTATATTTTAGAAATCTTAATTTCATTTGCCGATCCGTTTGTAAGTATTTGCACAGTATTGTACATTTTCACAGTATTGACATTTAATTGATAGAATTAAATAGTAACTAACATTTTGCATAGAAATCTCTCTTAATTTTTATAAAATAGTGATTTTAATGAAAATTCACACAAAACTTCGATTTTCATTCATTGTAGCACATTTTCCTATCTTAATTTACTCTTCTTAAAGATACTCTTGATGATAACTCTCTTTTTTTTATGATAACTATCTTAACGCATGTGTTTCATTGACTGTGCAAAGGTATTTGACTGTGTAGATTATAACAAACTATGGCTGACTCTGAGAATGGGAATCCCAGAACACTTGATCGTTCTAATGCGAAACTTATACTTGGACCAGGAGGCAGTCGTCAGAACAGAGCAAGGGAACACTGCATGGTTCTAAATTGGGAAGGGCGTACGCCAGGGATGCATCCTATCTCCATACCTTTTCAACCTATATGCAGAACAGATTATCCGGGAGGCTGGGCTCTATGAGGAGAAATGTGGGGTCAGGATTGGTGGACGATTTATCACCAATCCGCGTTATGCAGATGACACAACCTTGCTTGCTGAAACAGAAGAGGACCTGTAGTGCCTGCTGCAGAGGGTCAAGGACTGTAGCCTACAATACGAATTGAGGCTCAATGTCAAGAAGACAAAGATTCTCACCACTGGACCAATCAGCAGCATCAGGATGGATGGTGAAGAGATTGAGATTGTACACAGCTTTAGTTTGCTTGGCTCCGTAGTCAACAGTCTTGGCACCAGCAGCCAGGAAATTAAAAGGTGCATTGCCATGGGAAAGTCTGCTGTTAGGGACCTCTCCAAAGTGCTGAAGAGCAGTGGTGTCTCTTTGGAGACTAAGGTGCGTCTGATACAGGCCATGGCCTTCGCAATCACCTGTTATGCATCAGAGAGTTGGACAATGACCAAGGAGGATAGAAGGAGAATTGATGCCTTTGAGCTGTGGTGCTGGAGAAGAGTATTGAGAATACCATGGACTGCTAGAAAAACAGATTTGTCCTGGAAAGTGTTTAACCGGGTGGCTCCTTGGAGGCAAGGATTCTGAGGCTCCGTCTAACATACTTTGGACATGTTGTGAGGCGAGACCGGTCCTTAGAGAGGGACATCATGCTTGGGAGGGTGGAGGGATAGCACAGGAGAGGAAGGCCCTCTATGAGGTGGATTGATTCAGTGACTGGGATAATTGGGATGGGAGTGTCAGAGACAGTGCGATTGGCACAGGACAGAGCGGAGTTTAGGGCTGTTGTACATAGGTCGCTATGAATAACAACATCTTAATGCATCTGTTTTACAATCAGTGGTCTGCATATGTTACAGTTTTTTTGAATCCTGATGACTTCCTTTCTTTAGAGATTTTGTAAGGGAAAAAAATTCTTTATTTTCACTGTGTCTCCATTATAGATTGCTACCTTGTTTAATATTCAGATAAGGATGAACACAGGTGTTGTAAAACACTGTGGCTCAAAAGAAATTCTCTCACTTATTTTCTTTTAAGGGAACAAGCAACAAAATTTCCATTATTCAGGACAAGAATTACAGTATATTTACTTCATTCACTCAGTATGCCTACTAGGAAGATTACTGATCTATACACAAGGCAGAAAGCTATTTCCTATAAAGTTGAAGAATAGAAAAGGTAAGTGTAATTGGGGAAATTAATATATCTATATATTATATAAAACACGTTTATAAGAATTCCAGGCCCTGGTTCTATGCATTAGCTTTTTACTGTTTATAGTTTTTTTGGCATGCAATGTATGTTATTTTTCCTGAGAGTACAAAGGTAGCATGATTTATAGTTTTAAAAAGTTCTTTTTGGAAATAACTGTGACATAAGACTTTTTTTAAAAAGGGAATGTACATGTAAATGACATAAATGCCAATTTGATTCCATTATCTCATTTCCGTGGATTTTTAACTAATTCTCTTCTGGAGCGTACTTCTCCATCCCTGATCCACAAGCCTGCCTTTGTGAAAACTGTCATACAGGTGAATGGCAACTTAGTTTCTTTTTTCTGAGTAAATGCATGTTACAGATGACCTTTTTTTTTTTTAAGATTCACTGTCCCTTACGGATCTGATGGTTCTGTTTACCCAGCTTATATATTACTCACCAAGTTGTCCAAAGATGACATCAGCTGGACAGTCAGGTAATTCTGCTTAAATGTTGTTGTTGATTGCTGTTTAATCGAGCACAACTCATAGCAACCCTATGAGCAAAAGACCTGAAGTTACTGTGTTTTGATTCCCTAGTTTTCTCAGCTACTATTGTATGAATATTAGGAGGTCAAATATCTGAAAATCTATGAATTATGAATTTAAAATAGTGTTTTTTTAGTTACATTTCCTAGTGTTCCATTAATATATGTGTGCATATGGATTTTGTCCATCTTTAAAATTCTCATTCTTTTAATTGGTTTTATAGTAATAAGAATTAGTTTACTTAACAGCTCTCTGCTCTTCCTCCTCCCTTTTGATCAGTGAAAGTCTGATTTTAATAATTCTGGACTTTTCTACTAAGTTTAACCCTTCAATTTATTATCTAAGAAAAATAAAAGGGAAGAGAAAATAAAGAAATAAAAATGTTTGCTTTGGTGTCCTAAAGGAATGAAGGTGCTTAGGCATGTGGTGTTTAAGGAACTAGGTTGCCTACAGAAAGCAGGTGGTTCAAATCTAGTAGGTGCTGCGTAGGAGAAAGATGGACACTCTCCACCTGCTTGATGGACAGGTCAGCTCTACCTCAACAGCACAGCAGTAAGAACAACATTGAAAAGAAAAGAGTTGGTAGTTTGCTTAAAACCGCATTCTTAATGCCAAGAAATGATTTAACATTAAGAGTGAAATAACGTTCCTTGACATTCATTTTTATTGTCATTTACTTGCTTTTTGATAAGTTGAAAACATATTAAAATAATTGGTAGTCTTACAAGGTTTAGTTTATCATTTTGGTATATCCTTTAGAATCTGAGTTATGGTTTTTGAAGTATTTATTTGTACTTGATGTTAAAGTTTTGGGAACAGTAGTATCTTAAAGGCATAAATAAAAAACTACTGAATATGTAATGATTTAAGTTTTCATATTTAAAATGCTTTTTTTGTTCGTCAGAAAATTACTCTCCAGCAAGTATGATCACTGAAGTTCTGTGGATATTCTGTGATCAGAAAGAGTGTGCTATTGAATGTTTATATAACAGCACTGTGATAGAGGCACTTCTTCAGCCCGTTCATAATATAATGAAAGGCACTGAGGTTGGTATTACTTACTAAAGAGTGAAAGAGTCTTTCTTAACTGGATTTTAGTAAATATTTGCTGGGCATTTATTTGTAAACCTGACATATTTGAAATACTACTTTACGGTCACACATTTCCATTTAAGGATGTAGTTTTGATGGTATCAATTTTTTATTTGTAGTTAAAATCATAGTTCTTACAGTCAAGTGATTTATTAGTTATGACATTATGTGTTGGTGCTTTTACATAGAACGTCTTAAAATTTTTTTCCATTTAGCCTTAATTCTGCTGATGTAACAACCCTCCTAAAAAATTATTCTCTTAAGAAGTTATGTAGATGATTTACCTTGTGTTAATAGTAATTAGATAGTCTTTGGGAAAATAATTATTTACCTGGAAAGCCAGCTCTGTTTCATATAATGAACTACCATTACTTTGAGAGCCCTTAATTTAATCCTCACAACTAAGTCTGAAAGAAGGGACATGCTCAAGATCACACATTTAATAAGTGATATGTTCAGTTTTGTGACTGACTCTTGATCTTTTTCTTTCTCTCTAGTTCTTTGACTTTTTTTTTTAAATTTTTATTATTTTTGTGTGAGTGTACCGTCAAATCAGATCTGACTGGTACAGGAGGAGATTGTTCCTCCTTCCCCGGCAGAGCATCTGGTGGCTTCGAACCGTGTGCCTCTGGGATTGTAGTTGCAGCTCCTTATCACTAGGCCACCAGAGCTCCCCTAGTTCTTTGACTTTTGGAAATTGATTTTTAAAAGCTCATCAATAAGATAATGATTTGTATCTTTTTACACAGTGTTTCCACTTGTTTAATTTCCCTTATGTCTCTGTCTCGCAAGGAACTGGACAAATGCCCACACATTCATGTATTTCTCAGTCATTACTTATTTAGAAAACAAATATCAAGCATTTATGCAAATCTGGGCTCCACAATCAACACTTTTGGCACCAGCAGTCAGGAAATCAAAGGCAAATTGCATTGGGTAAATCTGCTATCCAGGACCTTTCCAGAGTACTGAGAAGCAACGATGTCAGTCTAGAGGCCAGGGTGCACCTGATCCAGTCCATGGTCTTTGCAGTTACTTGCTATACATCAGAGAGCTAGATAATGACTAAGGATGATAGAATAAGAATTGATGCATTTAAGTTGTGGTGCTGGAGAATAATCATGAACATACCATGAGCCGACAAGAAAATAAATAATTCTGTCTTAGAGACAGTGAAACTGGTTTCTCCCTGGAGGCTAGGATTTTGAAGCTCAATCTCACATACTTTGGGCATGTGACAAGGAGGGACCAATCATGCTCAAAAGGATGGAGGGACAGCACAGGAGAGGAAGACCCTGAATGAGATGAATTGATATAATAACTAGGGCAGTGGGAGTAAGTGTATTGGAATCAGTGAGCCTGGCTCAGGACAAGGCAGGCTTCAGAGCTGTTGTACATAGGGTTGCTATGAATCACAGGTGACTTGACAGCACATAACAATAACTGTACAAAGTACAGAATTCAGGAAAATTAATAGGTGAATATAATGATACATTTATTTGATGGTCTTATAGACAGCCTTGGGGAAATAAGCTAAGCAGAGAAGGTACAAGCAGAACTTATAATGCACAGCTTAATATAATATGAAATAGAAATAATATATTATTTCTATTCACAATTGTAGAAGGTGTATTAGGATCCAAGGGGGGAGGGTGGGAGCAGAGGGGTGAGGATGGGCGAGGGGTAGTATTAATCATACAATTTGATTTGTGAATTGTGAAATATCTTATATCTAGTGCTTGTTTTTCTTTTATATTTAACTTTTTATTTTCTTTTTGCTTCTTCTCTCTATAAATATGCCTATTTTTGTCTCAAAGCTGATTACCCTGTAAGAGCTCTGGTGGCCCAGTGGTAAGAATCTGCTCTGTAATAGCAAAAGCACATGGTTCAAATCCACCTACGACTCTGAGAGAAGGATAATCAATCTCCTCTTGCAATTGTTGTTGTTGTTAAGTGCCGTCGAGTTGTAGGTGATGCATAGTGACCTATGAATGAAAGTACTTGACACGTGCGTGACTTTCATCCTTTCTCCAGGTTCATAGGGTTTTCAGAAGCAAGCTATTTATGGAAGTGGATGCCACTCCTGCTTCCACTGTCCACCGTGGGTGACCATTATCGCATGTGTTCAGCATCACAGCAGCCACGAGTTACCCCTGTATGGCAAGTGGACACAACCAGGGCTATCCCACCTAGAAGAGTGTTCCACCAAAAACAGTTAAAGATAGGCCTTAGGGCGGTGGATTATTCTCTTGGAGTTACAGCCTTGGAAACCTGCTGGAGGTTCAGCTATGGGTTGCAGCTGCCTTGATGCACATAATGTGCATCTTTAGCTTCCCCTTAATTTTGATTTTATACTGGTTTACTTACAAAGTTCATATCCATTGTTTTTTTTACCAGTTCTTTCCCATTTCCTTTACCCACCCCTTCCTCCAGCCATCAAATTGTATGATTTGCCCATGCTCACCCCTCTGCTCCCACCTTCCCTCCTTGGATCCTCATACACTTCCACAATTATGGTCTTAAACAACATTTGTCCTTATGAGACTGAATTAATTCATTCAGCATAATGCTCTCCAGTCCCTCCCAAATTTCGGTAGTGATTTACAGAATTATTCCCCCTGCTTGCTGTGTAGTGTTCCATGTTGTCAATAACTGATCTTTCTAATGATCTAACTTTTAATTAAACTTTGCTGCTGTCATTATTTCTTTGATTCCAATAATTTGTCACATTATTACATTATGATTTGCCCTTCACCACATCATTGATGCTGTTGCCCATACTGATCACTCTTGCCTAAATGAGTAATTAGTGACCTTTCTGTACAGAACAGTATTTGCCTGATCTTAACATGGTTTACAGCTTTTGAAAATCTTTTCATATGACTTCCGTAACATTATTCTTTTTTAGTTTTCTTTTTATTTTTTGACCATTTCCCCCCCTCCAGTCGTATCTGAGGACATGCACCACTTTCAGACTCTGCAAGAGTTTCCGACTCGGGTCACTTTCCCCCCTTTTTGTCCACATTTAATGGCTCATTTTGTCTGTTCTGTGCATTGGGCGTAGAATTAAACCCTAAATTTAGGCTTCCCCCCCCCCATTCAGCTTTGTGTATAGCTGTCTAGTGAATACTTACCTTCTTGAGTTACTGCCTGAACAAATCTAATTCAATACTTTCAAGTAGGATTCTGTTTTCAGTCCATTTCTCCAATCTTCCTTCTATTTCTCTGTTAACTAGAACTCCTGGAAACTTAACTTCCTCATTCTTTTTAATTCAATTAGTAGCATGACCCAGTAGATTTATATTTCTGTATATATGAAAATGCATTCATTTTTCTTTGTTTCCATTGCTTCTGTTTTTGTTTATATCTCCATAAAATCTAACCTGGAATTTTGCAATAATTTATTGTATTTTCTACTTCTTATTTTTCACCTTCCCAGCCTGTATTCCATATGGCCACCAAAGCGTCACTGTACTTACCTGCTTTTTTATGATAGATAACATTAAATATTTTCACTTTGTCATTTACCAAGTTGTCAAGTTTGTTATTCCCTACTTGTTTTCATTAGCATGTAGTCTAGTTATAAGAGATCATTTGTATTCTATAAATAAAAGTTTTCTATTGTATGTGTTTGCATACTTTTCCCTGACCTAAGCTTTTTTCACATGGAAATATTTCTTCAGATCTTAGATTGTTTCATGAAATTTCCTCCCAGTTCTTCAAAGTTAGGTATTTTCTTCTTTAGACTCTACTGTTGTATTGTTGTTGTCATGTAAATCACGCAGGAGAAGATTGCCTATCCTTCTCCCACAGAGCAACTGGGGTATTTGGACCATGTTACTTTGGTATTACAGCGCAGTTTCTTACCACTGGCCACCAGAACTCTCTATGTTGTTGTTGTTAATAAGTGCTGTCAAACAAGCAACCATATGAACAATAGATGAACCCTCTTCCATCATGTGCCATCCGCACATATCCTGACACACAGGAGCCCATTCCACCTGGTCAGAGTCTTCCTCTCCTTTGCTAACCCTCCACCCTACCCAGCATCATGTCTCTCAACAAGAATAACCCCTCCTAGCAACATGCCCAAAGTATATGAGGTGAAGCCTCAGAATTCTTTCCATCTGTGCCCTCTCCAAGACATAGTTTTTGTTCTTTTGACTGTCCACAGGGTGTTTAATGCTCTTTCTCCAACACCACAGCTCAAAATCATTCATTATTCTTCTGTCATCCTATATACTCTTATTTATTCCTTTAGTTGTTCTTATAATGTGCTGGAATTATTCTTGATGTGAGGAATCAGACCTGTAACACAATGTAGACATACAGTATCCAAAATAAGGCATTTAATGTGCATGAGACATTGCACATTGACCTACTACCATATCACTAGCATTGTCCTATGCTGGGAATATAGAACTGAAAAGGAATGGCTTTAAAAGTATCTACTCCAGTAGAGAAAACAGACTTTTAAACATATGAACTATTGAGAATGAGGAGTAAAAAATATGTTTTTGTTTTAGAGGCAAGGAAAGAATTTTAAGGATGAACATATGTGAGTGTGTGTGTGTGTGTGTGTGTATTTAAAGATATCTAGCTTAACAAAGAAACCTTTTCAGGATTTAGTAGTCTCGCACTTGATTCATCATTAATAAAACTAACTTAATACATTTATGAGCATGCATTACTTTCTTGGTATCGATACTTATTTAGATTTGCCATTGATATTGCTAGGAGCCATTAAGTCAAGTGTGAACCATAGCCAACTTATGGACAACAGATTTGCACCCTGTCGTACCTTGTGCCATGCTCTCACTTCTTGACACACTGAAGCCAATTGCAGTAGGTACTGTGATAATCTACCTGGTTGAAGTAGATTCCTTTCTTTCACTTAACCTCTGCTTTCCCGAGCTTTGTGTTCCAAGTAACAGTCTTGGAGTTTATGAGGCGAAGCTTTGTCATCTTTGCCTTCAAGGAATACTCAGGCTGAACTTTCTCCAAGATGTATTTATTTGTTCTTTTGGTAATACATAGTATTTTCAGTACTATTCTCCAACATCACAGCTCAAAGGCATTGTTTTTTTCTTCTGTCATCCTAATTCATTGTCCAGCTCTTAGATGCAAGCAAGTGATCACAAACACCATGGTCAGAATCAGTCATCAAACTGATACCATTGATCCTGAAAAATTTGGAGAGGTCCTACGTTTCCCAATTTCATGATATAGTACTGTTTCAGATTTACCATAGAACATATTTAGTTGACATCTGTTCAGGTACAGGTAACTAAGGAGGATCCAGAAAGAACAGGAAGTGTGATAGGCTTCTCTATGGGTTCTAGAACGTATATAAACATTTTTCAGTATTTGCTGTGTACTATCCTGATACACATTGACAAAGGTTTTTTTGGTATCTCTATTTAAAAATCCAAAGTAGGGAAATGCAATTGACCCAGATTCTTTTTCTCACCAAGTGGCATCAGGGACTTCTTTACAGTTTAGGAATTGATTAACTCATAGCCCTATCATTTCTGGAAGGGGATAGTTTCTCATACAAAGATCGTGGTATGTTATACATCATAAGTAATAGGATTTGGTTTCATATTTGAGAGTTTCACAAGTGGGAAACAAATTGCAAATTGCAATTGTCAGTGAAAATTATGTAGAAAATGATAACTAGAACAATTCCTTCAGCCATCTTAATAAACAATAACTAGTTCAGTGAAAAAGATGTATTTATTTGCCTCGCTACCTCTGCTGGTGTGAACATGTAATCTAATGACACATTTAGTTCATATATATCATTTTACAGCCAAACAAATCATTAAAAAAATTTATGGTAATATAACTACCACTGTTGTATATTCTGTATTTCTGTGTTTCGTTAGCGTGCCGTAAAATGTTATGGTTTGTTTTGTTATCTTTCTAATGTACAGGCTGCTTCACATTGCATGGAAACAGCTTTAATTCACATAGCTGATATTTTGACAAGAATTGCATCTGTAGAAGAAGGTCTTATTTTACTTCTTTATGGTGAGACTATGAACTCTTCTGATGAAGAAAAGTAAGTACTTACATTAAAAAGTTGTTCATTTTTTTAAATATTTTTTATTTATTGGGAAAAACATATTGGGGGAACAAGGAGGTGAGCGTTGGGGGCAGAAGGGTGAGGATCGGCCAGGATGCAGTTGCAGAGCTGCACAGTTTGGTCAGTGGGGGGAGCAGGTGAAGGAAATGATGAGGGTCCAGTGGGGACCAGATGCTCCAGAGGAATGACAAGCATTTTCCAAT